GGCATGCTTATGGGTAGGCGTTTCTTCCACCTCAGCCTTCCAAGTAGTAGCTGGAACCACAGGTGCATGCCACCATGGCCCAGCTAATTGTTTGATTTATTGTAGAGATGAGGTCTTGCCAAGTTGCCCAGGCTGAACTCAAACTCCTGGGCTCAGGCAATCTCTCACCTCCGCCTCCCAAAGTACTGGAATTACAAGCATGAGCTATCACATTTGGCCAAAATTACTCTTGATTTAGGATTTTTGAGGTAAAAATTTTGTAACAGAATCAGAATTGTTACTTTTTTGTTTGTTTTTTGAGTTGGGGTCTCTGTCACCCATGCTGGAGTACAGTGGCTTTATTACAATGATTACGGCTCACAGCAGCCTCAACCTTCTGGTCTCAGAGGATCCTTCCGCCTAAGCATCCAAAATAGCTGGGACTACAGGCACACCCCCCCGACACCTGGCTAATTAAAAAAATTTTTTTTTAGAGACAAGGTTTCACTGTGTTGCACAGGCTGCTCTCCAACTCCTGGGCTCAAGCAGTCCACCTGCCTCAGTCTCTCAGAGTGCTGGGATTACAGGAGTGCACCATCGCGCCTGGCCCAGAATTGCTACTTTGTGATTTGGGACAGTTCAGGGTTCCTTCCTGGAAGATGCTTCTGTGGATTCTTTGTGGCATGGCTTTCATCCCATCCTCACAAACTTCAAGATTGTCCCTGGCACTTCATGCCACATTCTTATGTTTTTGTTATCTGTTATTACATTTTCAAGATTGTCCCTGGCACTTCATGCCACATTCTTATGTTTTTGTTATCTGTTATTACATCACAACTCTTCTCAAAACTTAGTGGCTTAAAGTAACAGCAATTCATAATTTTTATTTATTTATTTGAAAGACGTGGGGTACAATTCAGGATTAGATATACAAGTGGTCACTGTATAGGTAATCAATTTATTATTTCTTAGTTCTGGAGATAGACTGTGCTCAGCGGGTGGTTCTACACTTGGTCATTCCTGCAGTCACTCGTGCATCTGTATTAAACTGGTAGCTCAGCTGGGGCTGAGAAATGCTGGTGGGCATTGTTCCCATGTGTGGCAGTTGACTGAGGCACCTTGGTTCTCTTTGTGACTTCTTATTCTAGATTGGACCTCTTCATAGTATGGTGCTCTTGAGGTTGCAGGGTAAAGACAGATACCACCAGGCCACTTTTGGCTCAGGACTGAACTGGTACAGTGTCATTTCTGTTGGATTCTGTTGGTCAAGCAAATCCAGATTTAACAGGAGGGGAAATAGACTTCACCCCTTGGGAGGAGTGACAACTCTGCGCTAGGGTACGCAGGATGGTAGGGTTGGTTGCAGGAGCAGAACAGGTGGGCAAGGACACCGAGCCCCCTTGCTGGTCCTCAGGCCTACCTGGGCCTGCTTGTCTTAAATGGTAGCTCTCCTGGACATGCCACTGCTTGCCAGATTCCTCGTAAGTTGGCTGTCTCTGTTTTTCTGGCCCTGTTTCCTCACTGATGTTCAACCATCACCATCCTACAGTGCCTACCTTTTTATTTATTTGTTTATTTATTTATTTTGAGTAGGAGTCTCACTCTCTGTTGCCCAGGCTGGAGTGCAGTGGCACACTCATGGCCACCGCAGCCTGACCTGCTGGACTCAAGTGATCCTTCTGTCTTAGCTTTCCAAGTAGCTGGAACCACAGGCATGCACCACCATACCCTGCTAATTTTTTGATTTATTGTAGAGACAAGGTCTCACCAAGTTGCCCCAGCAGATCTCGAATCTTTGGACTCAGGCAGTCCTCTCACCTCTGTCTCCCAAAGTGCTGGGATTATAGACCTGAGCCACCATGCCCAGCTATTGCCTGCCTTTTTAAATGCCTCACCATTCCTACATTCATTTCCTAAAGGGAAGTGCAAGTGCCACTTGCATCACCCTCTTGTTTTATTCTCCCTCCACACTCTTCCTCTGTCATAGCATCTGTTCATGATTTTCATCTCCTGCCCTCCTGGTCCTTAGAAACTTCAACATTCCCATTGATGACTCCTCTGAAATCCAACGTTGAAGTTTTTGTTTTTTTTTAATCTTTGGTCTAGATCAGCTACATTTCCAGTTCAGGGTTACCTATCTAGAGACCAAAAATAATGTTTTTATTAGGTAGGTACAGAGCATCACAAATGTTAAGACTGTCAACAGTGGAGTTAAAATGTACTTAAAATATAAAATTAAGCATAATGGAAGAGATAAAAATGTGAAAAGATACTAATATGATCCAGCAATTCCACTCTTAGCTGTTTATACCCCCAAAAAATGAAAACATAAGTCCATCCAAAAACTTGTACACAAATGTTCTCACACTTGTAATTCCAGCACTTTGGGAGGTCAAGATGAGAAGATTGCTTGAGCCCAGGAGTTCAAGACCAGCCTGGGCAACATTGTGGGAACTTAACTCCACAAAATAATCAAAATAAAAAAAATTAACCAGTTGTGGTGGCATGTGCCTACAGTCCCAGCTACTTGGGAGGCTGAGTAGGAGGGATTGCTTGAGCCCAAGAGGTTGAGGCTACAGTGAGCTGTGATTGTGCTACTGCACTCCAGCCTAGGTGACAGAGTGAGACTCCAACTCAAAAAGAAAAAGTGGAAACAACCCAAATATCCATTAGTTAGTGAATGCATAAACAAAATGTGGTATAGCTATACAATGAAATATTACTCAGCCTGTAATCCCGCACCTTGGGAGGCTGAGGTGAGTGGATTTCCTGAGCTCGCGGGTTCGAGACCCACCTGGGCAACTTGGCGAGACCTCATCTCTACAATAAATAAAAAAATAAAAAAAAAAGAAATATTACTCAGCCATAAGAAAATGAAGTACTGATTCACTGATTCATGCTGCAAGATATATGAACCTTGAAAATATGCTAAATGAAAGAACCAATCAAAAAAGGCTGCATATTGTATGATTCCATTTATACTTGAGCCTTAGTGTTTATAGATTCTATGTTTGCAAATTCACCTTCTCACTAAAATTTTTTGTAGTCCCAAAATCAACAGACGTGCAGAACAGCAAAGTATTTGAATTGCCCTGTACACGTCCCAGCTGAGGTTGTGCAGTTGAACAGTACAGTCCTCTGCCTTCTTGTGTCTGCTATCATACTGAAGCAGGCGGTAAGATGATTTATTTTGGGCCACATTTCTTGCTTTTTTGTCCTCTTTTGTTG